GAGAGAGAGAGAGAGAGAGAGAGAGAGAGAGAGAGAGAGAGAGAGAGAGAGTACAGAGAATCGAACCTATGTATTTCTATATACACGGTGTTACGTATTTAAACGTATTCGATAGATACAAAATAAAATTGATCTAAATTTTCGTTGCAACAAAAAAAAAAAAGAAAATAAAAATGTGGGCTCATTCGTGAAGAAATTTCTTTCAAAATATTAATACAATATTAATAAATAATTATGTGATAAATAATTAAAATATATAGAACATAATTAGAAAGACAAAATTAAATAGAAAATTGTCAAGGTCTTTGCTATGTTTTTTTTTTGTTAACCAACCAATTGACTGTGGAATTTAGTTTCAAAAGATCACCATAGGGATGCTGAATTAAAAACAAGCAACGACGAGTATGCACGTCAAACGTATCGCAATAGAGATTTGGTCGGACGTGTATACACGTCAAACGCACTTAACTGCTGGTTAAATTATATCGTTTATTCGTTTTCTATGTTTTTTTTCTTTTTTTTTTTAAAGATGAAGTATTAGAATGATTAGAATCTTTGTTGACTTGTGGGTAGATGAAAGAGTATAAGACGTGTGTGTGTGTGTGTGTCTGTGAACATATTCGTTTTTCCACTTCCTCGATCTCGTTACGATAACTAGATATGTTTATTTTGTCAGAACCGGACGTGCCTTTGCTAGTAAAAACGAGATATCGCTTTTTTTCCCCCCCCAATTTTCTTCCTTTTAAACCAAGTTTAGCTTACATTAAAGATTATCAAAGATTTTCGAAGATTTTCAAAATGATTTTCAAAATGATTTTCAAAATGATATTTCTTTGGAATTCTAATAGTTAAGTATCATATTTATTATGAATTATAAATATAAAAATCATTTATCATTACAATGAAATAATATAAAGGAAAATTTGCAATTTACAATTACATAATATAAAAAAGCAAATATATAAAAGAATGTTTTTCGTTTTTTTTTTTTTATATTTTTTTTTTTCAGACTCAATCCAAATAACATTGATGCTGAATGTATACCAATGACTCCTAGACAAAACAGTATGAGAAATGGGCGTCGAGTTCGTCGAGAAAATGGTCAAACCGAAGAAGAATCTAGAACCATGAAACAGGTATATTTATAGTTTGTGATATTTTTGTCAAAGTATTTTTGTAATTTTAATATTATTTTATTACAATGTTTAATTTTGTTTAAAAGAGTTTAATATTATATTGTAATACATATTTATAATTATAAAATATATATATATATATATGTGTGGGATTCACCTTCTCCTGTTAGTCTTCCTAAAGAAGGGGAATCTCACATATATGTGTTTCATATTATATATAATAAATAATATTATAATTATTTACAATATTTGATAATAGAAAATATTGCACAAATAATATTATAAAATACAAAATATTATAATTTTATTCATTAATTTATTTTTAGTAATATTTGTACAATAACATAAGGTTTCACAATATTATATTGTAATATAATATTATATAGTAATATTATATTAAAATACATATTTATAATATAATATATGCAACGTATGATATATAATAAATATAATAATTATAATATTAATATAAATAAAATAAAAAATATTAATATTATAATATTAATATGTTTATATTATTTATTAATTATAATTATTTGTGCAATATTTTCTATATTCAATATATATTGAAAAATAATATTATAAAATAGATGTATTTATATTAATACAAAATATTATTATATAATTTTATCAATTAATTTAGCTTTGATAATATTTGTACGATAACATAAGGTTTCAATATTATATTGTAATATAATATTATATTGTATAATACATATTTATAATTATGTTATATACAACGTATATAACATATATAATAAATTTTATAATTATTTGTGGAATATTTTTTTCTATATCCAATATTGACAAATATAAAATACGCATGTATTTATTAATACAAAATATATATGATAATTTTATCGATTAATTTAACATAGATAATATAATTGTTTAATAGGTGGTAAAGATGTTAGTTGCTGTGGTGGTTCTATTCGCAATTTGTTGGGGTCCCATATTAATCGACAACGTGCTCACAGCTTACCGCATTTTACCACGCCAGAGGAAGGGAATTTACAAGCATATGAACACGGCTTTTCACTTAATGGCTTACTTTAACAGGTATTATCATCATCATCATCATCATCATCATTATTATTATAATCATCATTATCATCATCATTTATTAACTTATATTTGATATTCTTTAGAAATTCTTAAAGTAACTTGAACATTTGTCTTATTCATCTTCCTCATCTCATCATCCTCATCTCATCTTTCTCATCTCATCTTCTTCTTCTTCTTCTTCTTCTTCTTCTGAAATAAGATGATTTTCTAAACGTTTATCTTAAAGTGATGGGATTTGGGTTGTGGTGGAGATATGGGAGGATAGGAGGAACATGAAAATTTTGATCAATTGCTTTGACAAGCAATTTTGTTTCTTTCTTTTTTATTATCGTCATTTATTCAACTATCACATTTTACACATCCATCATCATCCTGTTGTTCCCTCACTCCTGTACACACACACACACACATACACAGACACTTGTTAAGATTTCTTTCTAGTCTATAGGTAGGATTATACCATACATTCAACACCATTTGAACGAATCATTTTGTCTTATAGAATGATACGATTACTATGTAATAGTGGCCTATCATTGAAGATAACCAGCTTGTAAGATTAGAAGCAAATTGTATTCAATTGTTCTCTTCAATTTATTTGTCTTAATAAAAAAAAAAAAAAAAAAAAAAAAAAAAAAAAAAAAAAAAAAACAAATAGAAAAAACTTGAACTAAATTTAACACAATTAAATACAAAATAAAAATAGAAAAATAGAAAACAATTATCACCAATTTATTTGTCTTACATTAATCAAAAAAAAAAAATTAATAAAAAAAAATAGAAATAAAATAAATAGAAAAAAAATAGGACTAAATTTCACAATTAAATAATAAATAAAATAAAAATATAAAAATAGATAGACAAAAAATAGATAGACAAAAGATAGAAAAATAGGAAATAATTATCTCCAATTTACTTATCTTACATTACCCAAAATAAAAATAAAACTAAAAATAAAAATAGAAATAAAATAAATAGAAAAAAAAAATAGAACTAAATTTGACAATTAAATACAAAGTAAAAATAAAAATAAAAAATAGAAAACAATTTGCAAAAAAAAGAAATATAACAAATTACAAAACATATTTTTTAAACGATCCACCACCCAACTATAACTACAAACCACCACCCATAATCAACCACCCACTTTTTCTTGTTCTTATTAGCCATACAGAAGAAAATAGGTGTTTTTCTGTGTGTGTGTGTGTGTGTGTATGTATTTGTCGAAATTTAAGATACTGATAAAACGAATGACGTACGATGGTAGAAACGATAAAGTGACAATAAACAGACTCTTGCTAATATTCAGTAAGAAGTTAGAGAACGATTTTGGTTCTGTCTGTCTGTGTAAGTGTGTGTGTATGTGTGTGTATGTGTACATTCTGGCTTAGATGAGAGTTTTCCCGAACCCACTTCATGACCCCAACAACCGTATAGTAGCTTAAAATACATCTGTAGCAACATCTTCTAACCACCGCGTCGAATCTTAAATAGAAGATAGAAATGTTCTTTAAAAAGATTATATGCCACCACCCCTTTCCCCTACCCCTACCCCTACCCCTACCCCTACCCCTTTACTCTCCTTAGTCTGTACTTTAACTAAAACTTCTTCTAACAATTAGAAGTAAGAAGAAAATACGATCCTTCTTATCAAACCTTCGAAAATTTATTTGTTTTGTTTTTATTGTATAATATTATTCGTTTGTTTAAAATTGTTACATTTTAAAATTGCACATTGATTATTTACAATATTTGAAAATTTTGATTGTAATTTAATTTAATTTAATTTTTTTTATTTCTATATAGAATTATTCGTTTGTTTAAGATTGTTACATTTTAAAATTGCAAATTGATTATTCACAATATT